GCCTATCTCCTCGGTAGATAGTAATACAATGAGGCTTACGATGGCCTAAATAAACGATACTTAACAAAGTGTATTACTATTACTTATTTGATTCGATGTTTCCTGCTACATGTTACCCGCTGCTAACCATAGTAACAGAACTGAAATTCATGCTGTAGTGGCTTAATGTTGAAACTCAATGTAGTTTAGGTAATTATGATCGCTCAGCTATCGAATTTGTGCTCCAGAAAAATGTAACCATTCATTGCGTAATACTAACCGAGAGCAGCTTGGAGCCATAACATTTAGACAGAATTATTTACACTACTTATTTTTTATAAGTAGTAAAAAAGAGTGCTAGATGAATTGGCCCTATCGAACTAAAGTTCAGTACATTTACTTGACAGCGAACATTGGCCCCACATTCGCTCCATAAGTCTTATGTTCACCTTATGTTCAATAATGCCGCCCAGCATTCGCCTTGTGTTGTTACTGATTAGGATAAAGAGTTAATTTTTGGGCAGTATGTACTGTTTAGTCAGTTAGGATAACAGTGAGCAGACAGGCTGTCAACAGGGCGATTTGTTACAAACAAGTGCAGGACATTCAGTCACAGACTGAAACTACGTAGAAATATGTAATTACGGAAAGCTCATAGGGTGGAAGATGCTTGATAGGAGGTGAAAAATATGAGCAAAACTATGAACAGCTAAATGATCCATTTCTCGTGTTTCCGCCTCATCTCTTCACTACAGAATGGGCTCCATATTTAAGCATTTAGCATCACATGTGTTGACTGAGATAGGTAGATCAACTACTTAGGACTAGAGTAAGGACTTTAAACATGTAGATGTGTGTACCATAACGATATAAGAGTTGATTTAGTTAAGGTTCCATGGATAACAAATTGAAAAAAACAAGCAGATCGAACAACAGCGTTTTATCATCCCTGAAGAGACTAACCAGGAACAAGACGGTGATTTGCTGATTTAATTATTCCCATTGAAAATGATAGATCAATTAAGTATAATGTAATGGTATTGGACAAGTTGGACAAGATGAAGTCAATGTTTTCTAAAAGGATTGAGACAATTAAGTGAAACAACATCGGAAACTAGTTAAAGTGAAGGCGATTATAATAGCAATAATAGTGATAAAGGAAGGATACAAAGGTTAAATTAACAAAGTGGGAGGGGGAGCAAATGGTGTGGGAAAATGTTATGGCCATGTTAAAGACAGTAACTGCACATACTTCTTTTGTACACACAGATCAGGTCTCAGTTCGTGAATGGCTAAAGCCTCCGCTGCTTTAAGGAGTTGAAAACGAAGAGAACGTGGGAGGTCTGGGCGAATTTGATAAATAATTTCAATGTCATCGGCTGGATTTGTTGTGTAATGGAAGTCAATCAAATGTTCTAGAGTCGAACTTCTAACAGACTTTCTTTCACCTTTATAAAACCAAGCAGGAACATGTTCTTGTATACGTGTAGAAAGCATTCTCTGGCTACGGCCGATGTACCTTGCTCCACAAGAGCAGGTGAACTGGTAGATGCACATAGAGGCAGCCAACCGAGGAAGCTTGTCTTTAACGCAGGCAGAGAATAGGTTGCGACTGGTAAAAGTCAACTAAAGTCTTGCTGCGAAGAAAGTCTTATTGATTGATCTGGTAAGACGATTCTTCAGTACATCCGATGCCAGGTCACCTTTAAACTCTAGGCTCATAAACAATATTTTCTTTAATAATAATAATAATAATAATAATAATAATAATAATAATAATAATACTTAATGTATTTGCCATTTTCAACAGTTTTTTTCACCCCCTTCTCAGTTATATACTCTCTATGTACCATTCCATATATTACATAATCTATTTGTTATCATTCGCACTTCAATTGTTATTATAATCACAAATGCCAGCGTCATCATCCGCTCTATTATTATTGTCATCACCATATAGTGTTTAGTTTTCCTCACGGGGTATGATTTTTTCCAAATATCATATATATACGATTGTACAGCTTGAAAATAAATTCGTTGAAAAGAGTCTCTTCGCTGAATATCGTGTTCTTGATTTGCTGATTATCCATGAGCAAAGCCAGAGTGAAAATTTCTTTTATTATAAACGAGTGTAATTCCGCAGAATTTAGTCAGATATAGAGTTTCTAAGTGGTGCAGTGGGAAATGAGAATTCTCCTCAAATTTAAGCATCTACTATTGTAGATATTGGTCACGATTTAAAGTTTTTGAAATGTCACTAAGTAATAGGGTAAAAAAAATGGATGTGTGACTGTACATATTTAAATGTATAGGATGTGAAGACTGAGTCATAAAACAGCAAACAGCGTGTAGGTCCTATTTTGAAACCTGTTCGCATGTCAAACAACTGGAATAAGTATCTCTGCAGTAACAAGAGAAACTCGTTCATGCACGAAGAAGTGGTCAGACAGCACGTTGTATCCTCTAAGTTACTGAAAAATAATGGGTCACTGTCGCTGTCTGGAATACGTGGTACGCATTTCAAGCCACCCCCCCAACTAATCACACAGGAATAGCTGAAGTATGATCAAAGTGGAAAGTGGGTAAAGGTGGGTGATATGACCGAGATATTGCAACAATGTTGTGAATGTTTGACTTTGATGAGATTTGTGTGAATTTCCTGGTTGAGGCAAACAAGGTGACGAGACTGATATTTGGGAACTTTTAATCATGGGTGTCAGAATCGACTGAAGTGTTGCCGTGATGTATTCACGCTTGTTGTTCACTCGACTCATCATTATGATAACGCCATCTTAGTTCACTATGTTTTCTTCTTTTTCTACGTAACGGTATCCAACTAAGTCTAGCCAAGAATAGATTTTTTCGTGTGGATTCGTCAGTAACTACTTTGGTCATGGCTTTTGTATAGTCAATTTCTTTAATGCACTAAATTTTGACTTCCCGTTTTCATATAGCAAACCATAAGGAATTTCTCCGTAGTTTCTATATCTAGCATAATTTTTCTAGTTATACTGTATGTTTAGATAATTAATTCGGATATTATATACCGAAATTTTCCTTTGCAAAAACGTTCGCAACTAACATGTCTATTTTTCATGGTTACATCTCGTTCAACTTTTCAAAGACATGTTGCTATACTAATGATAACATACTGCCATCATGCATACACCTTGATTTACATTCACCTTGGTTTCTTAGTTTTTACTTTTGTGACGAAATGTTTGTTATTAGCATTAAGGATGGTGAAACAAACCCGGAAAACTGCATTGGAACCTCACATGGGAATAATATATGAATGAACTGAACAAAAGATGAGTTAAGCACTTCTCACAAGGTCAACTCAGGTCATCTTATGATAGAAGGTTGTAAAAACTTCAGAAGATTGGAAAAAAATATGTAAATAAAACATTCACAATGCTTCTCAAAGTGATCAGGTTAGACATTTATTCGTAAGAAACACTTCAAGACGCTCAAGAATACATCACCCTTCCTTTGACTTTTGGTTAGGTTGGACCTCTTGATCAGTCATACCAGTTGAACTACTGTTCTGAAAAACATATATAGGTACTGAATAATGAGCGAAGTTGTACGCGTTTTGCGAGGCCATACTTAAGTACAAAAGATGACCTGTTTCATGATAGAAATAGATTCGTGTTATACAATTCTACCGGATTAAAGTATTATTATAGGTTGAGCATTTCATAAGGATGAGATAAAGGAGAATTGAACTCAGTATTGTGAAACAACGGATCAGAAAGATATTTCTAATTGGTAATTTAGTCTAAGAAAATGTAAATGAAGATACTATTTGTAAGAAAGCCGTTGATTACATATGGAACTAACAAAATGGTATCCCTTCACCAATGTATCGTAGTTAATTTATAGAATCGGTTATACAAATGAAACAGTCATTGAATAAAATATGTTAACCTTAATACATTTTTGCGTCATATGAAGGCTCTAGTAAAAGATCTATCTAGATGTTTCATATTTTCAATTTCCCAGCTGCAGTTATACACAACTTTGTTGAGGATATATTTTCCTAATTACTAGTGTGAAGTTTGGAGAATAAAATTCCTAAAAACAAATGCTGGTTCCTTTGTTTTCTAAATAGGTACGGTAGCAATAAATTTCGGTGGTTGATTAACACAATTATTTTTATTGTGTCAAATTTATTCTACGAATTGGGAAGATAGAAGCCAGACGAACAAATATAAATGGTCAGTCAGTAATTACGAACATAGGAAGTAGCATTTCTGCATACCAGTTCAAATTGTTAAACTTCGTACCGTCACATCAAGTTGAAACATGGAGAATCGAGGAGGAAAGTGATCATAAGTTGAACAAAATAATAAAAGAATAAGAAGGTATGGAGCAATAATGAAATTCATAATGATAATTAAGATGAAGATAATATTTGGATGTAACTATTCCACTAAAATCTTGTTGGAGCCATATCAATAAGAGCCTTCAAACCATCGATTTTGGTTGTCACACAAACGCAAACTGGATAGTCTGCTTTTTTCTACATGTCTCAAACCAACGGCCAGAAACTTTTTGAACTGATGTCATGTTATTTCTTACCACTTTCTTCTTTGTCTTGCTTATCATCTTCATCACTTAACGTTACAAAAAGAGATAGACGGCGACTATGTGTGTGTAACAGATTTCCTGTTCATTTGGGTCTATGAAGGCTTATAAACTGACATTTAGACATGCCAGACTGGTGGAACCTAATGAATTTTTAATATAATTCTGTTTTGCAAAATAAATTATTTCTTAAACCAATCTGTAAGTGGGATGACAGATAGAGAGTGAATAAATAGATAAACTCCACGCAACTCCTGAGTGATGATCTGCTTAACGTTTATAATCGTTATATGATAATGCAGCCAGGGTTTTTTGGCATGAGTAACCTTAAGACGTCTTATGAAATGTAACGTTTCTTTTAGATTCATAGGAATGGATTGTTATTATTGTCATTCTGTTAATCCAATCGGAGCAACTTTCGACTGACTTACTTAGAGCGAAATAAAAGTAGTTTAGAAAGTGGTAAACATAGCTGACAAGCTATTAAATCACCTGTAATAACAAATGATCAATTTTGTACGAGCCAACAGCAACACTCAAATGCTGTACTCTCATAATCACTAAATGAATTTTCTAATTTATGTTTAATAACTAGCATAGACTGCTGTTTTGACTTGGCAATATGAATGTTCACTTTTAGGCTCAGGTGATTTCTTTATTAGCGCTTTCTTGCACAAGTGAAATCATTTCATAGGGAAAGTGTGCAAGTAGTACTCTTAGTAACGTATATCTTTTTCTTCGCATTAAAAAAAAACCATTTGTACCCTCAATAAGCTTTATCTCATGTGAGGGGAATTCAGAGTGGTTGCCTACGGCTATGTAATCAGTCGTTGAATAAGGTCGATATTCTGTAAAATTACTAAAGACAGAAAGAAAAAGAGAGATAGGGATTTGTTATCTCGCTACTTTATTTGTCATTTATATTGCTATCTGAATTGTTATGCTGTTATAAATACACTTAGCATATGTAGTGAATGGAAATCTAACGTGTCTGTGATGTAATGAAGTACTTTGAATGAACAACTGCCTTGTCAGATTTACATAAAACAAAGAATTTTGAGATGCAAATTTAGATTTTCTAAAATTCTGATTAAGTTAATTAAACATGAAAATTGCTTACGAGAAATTTATTCTACTCAGTTGTGGTTATTGAGTCTTGAAGTAACAAATACCGAGAGTTCGAGGTAAATTATATTGGCAAAGAGTCTTTAGAATATGAAAAACGTCTCACTTTCGGTCAGTAGTATTAAGAGGTAAGGAGAATTAGTGATAATTTATTACTTATTTGATGATATCACAAGTTAGTTCGATTATTTTCTAAAGTGGATTTCTATAAAAAGTGTATTTTCTGAGTTTATAAAATATTGAAGTGATTTCCTATCAAGTATGAAGTTAAAACTTTATAGTCTCTGTCAGATTATTGTTCAAGGACAAACTGATGTGGAAAAAATAATGAGTCAGACTGCCTCCGGTGAGTGTCACTTATTGTCCATTACTCATATTCACAATGTGATTTGATATAATACTTTGAATTTAGTAGATAAAGTAGTTTTATGTTGAAATTGTCGTTATACATAACATACAACCTCTCCTGGTTAACTAGTTCCCTAGTTACTAGCCAGTCCTAAGCCTGGATAAAGAGGGAAGGTTGGGAATAGGGCTAGAAAGCATATCCCGTAAAACCAATCCGACCACTAAAGAAACTTCAAAGCACAAACAAAATATGAAAAATGAAAACAAACTTATTCCTCGCTGGAATCGAAGAGACGAAATGATGCCGGTTGGTGAAAGCTTTCGGGAAGTCAATTGGCCGATGTGTCTCCTCTTGAGGAAAGCGAAAGTAAACGTGGAGACATGGAATGTCCGCATCATGTATGAACCTACCAAGGCTGCCCAGATTGCAAAGGAGATAAGAAGGTATAAGATAGAAGTGCTAGGAATCTTCAGATGGAATGGAAGTGGACTCTCCAAACTGTCAACTGGAGAGTCAATAATCTACTCCAGTATTGTCACCCAGACGACAACCACGAGCACACTGAGTTTTGTAGTGGCTATCATGATGTCCCCTTGAAGAGCATCGAAGGCCCTCATGCAGTGGGAACCAATCTCCTCCTCCTTCTCCTTCTCCTTCTCCCTCTCCTTCTCCAGGATCATGACAGCAAGATGGATTCAACTGAAAAGGAAGGAAAGTCACAATCATGCAATGTTACGCACCAACAAATAATGCAGATGAAGAGAAGAAGGGGGAATTCTATAGACAGCTGCAATCAGTATCAGACAAGACTCCATTTGGCGACTTCAAAATTCTAATGGGCGACATGAATGCCAAACAACACAGGAAGAGAACTCATCATGGGTCGAGAAGCACTCGGCGAAATGAGTGAGAACGGAGAACTGTTTGCAGTTTTTTGCACATTCAACGATTTGGTGATTCGAGGCGAGGCGAGGCAGTGTGTACAAACACAAGGATATTCACAAAGTCACATGGAATTGATCTCAATATTCACCAGATGGACACACTACACTAAAAATCAGATTGACTTCATCTCAGTCTGAATAAAGTGGAGACTCAGCTTACTGGACTCAAGATAAGATCAAGAGTGGGAGCAGATGTGGGTTCAGAACATTATCTAGTCCAAGGAACCTTCAAAATCAAGTTGAAAGCCTTGAAAGAAGCTGGTGATGATAGACCAGAGTTCAAGTTGAGCACTCAGAACAGAAACTGAACTGAAGGACGAACCTACAAAGGATATCTTTACATCAGTCAGTCAGCCATCAGGACAAAATGAGAGATATTAAGCAACATCCCTGAGGAAGCCTGGGCGAAAAAACACTAGAACTCTGTGAAACAGATATGGAAGTAAACCTGCATAACCTTGTTAAGAAGGATGAAGAGAAGGCGAGACGAGACGAGAAATAGATCTCGACGGATCTCCAAATGGAAGCTGATGAAGGAGGGAGAGGAAGATGGTGGTTGTGATGGTGATGGTGAAGCAGAAGATGAACCAGTGCAAGGATACACAACGAAAAGACGAACTGAGTACAACGTACAGAACACTGGACAAAGAAGTGAAGAAGAGTGTGTGGAAAGACAAAAGACGCTTCTAAGACACATTGGCATATGAAGCAGAACAGGCTGCTGGTAGGAGAGACCTGACAACATTGTATCAGATAACCAGGTTACTATCTGGGAAGGAAAAGATCAACGCAGACGAAACCAATGAAAGATAGTGAAAGAAAGCTAGTTATCGAGGAGGAGAAACAAAGGAAAAAATGGGCTGACCTTTTCAAAAAACTATTTAATCGGTCACCGTCACCAATTATTAACACAACACTGTTATAATTATTTAACTGTATCGATATATGTTATATATTATCGTTATTATTATTATTTTTCCCTTGGGTTCCTAGTGGAACATAAAGCTTCAGTAGTACGCCTGCATTGCACTCTTTTCAACCTGGCGCCACGACTGCCCATAAGCTTTCATTTCATCCTTACATGATCTCCTCCATGTCACTGTTGGCTCAGAAACCCAACTCGTCGTTTCCCATTTGGATTCCACTCGAGGGTCTGGTGCGTTATGTCCCCAATCGACCTTCTCAGTGTATGTCCAGTCCAGTCCATCTCCACTTTCTTCTGCAAATTTGTTGGGTGATAGGTTATTGGTTGGTTCGTTGCCAGCCAGCCAGAGTTCCTTGTTGTTTGTTCTTTCTGCCCATCTGATCTTCAGTATCGAGTGAGTATAGGTGGCAACTGTTGGTGAATGTCTGTAGTTTGTCACAAATGCTTTCCATGACACGCCAAGTTTCTGAACCATGTAGCAGCACTGACTTGACATTGGTATTAAAATTCAAGATCTTGTTCATGCTTTATGCTTAGTGCAGTGCAGTAGGTCTCCACACTGATTTCAGATTAATGAAAGCCTGTCTTGCTTTTCCGATCCTGGTTTTGACATCCTCTTCTGTGCCGCCGCCTGTAGTTGAAACGATGCTGCCTAGGTAGGTGTAGGTGAAAGAGACTACTTCCTTTAGGTTTTGCCGTTTAATGGTGATTGGTGCTTGTTGTTGATGCTGTTGTGGGCTGGGTATCCTCATCACATCTATCTCCTCTACTTTCACTTGAAGTCCCATCCTCGCTGCCCTGACTCTTCAGTCAACCTGTTAGTTTTTGCCTGGAGATCTTCGAGTTTGTGCCACAAGATATTAGACATAAATCATCATCGGCGGCGAAATCCAAATCTTCTCCTGGGGTCTTTTCATCAGTCCAGCCAGCGTATGCCCACCTTGTCGCTCCTCACGGCTTACTGCATTATCCAGTCGACCACAATCAGGGAGATCATAGGTGATGGCAGCCTTGTCTTACTCCTGTCTTCACTTCAAAGGCATCGCTGAGCTTTTCATTGTGGATCACTTGGCATGTGGCGTCGTCATATGGCCGTTGAATGAGGTTGATAAAGACTAGTGGCACTCCGTAGTGTTGAAGCAAGCAACTGCCAAGTTACTCCTCGGTTGACGCTGTCGAAGGTCCTTTCGAAGTGGATAAAGTTGAGGTAGAGGGTTGACTGCCATTTTTTGCTCTGTTGTATGATGATGCGTGGCATTGCAATTTGATCCACACATGATTTGTTCTTCCTGAAGCCGGCCATTTTGTTCGTGTCGTGATTTTGAATCCAGAGCATCTTTTAGTCTCTCCAGGATGATGTGGCATAATATTTTGCTTGGGGTGGACAGGAGTGGATCATGATTCCGCGCCAGTTCTTGCAAAGACTTAAGTCTCACTTGTTTGGGAGTTTGACAAGGTACCCCTTCATCTTACCTGCAGGTACCTTTCCTTCCTTCCGAATCTTCTGCAGTAGTGGTGTCAGCCTGTCCGCTGTTGTCCTTGCGTCTGCTTTCAGTGCTTCTGGAGGAATTCCATCTGGTCCTGCTGCTTTCCCAGATTTCAGCAACGTTATGGCATTCAGGACTTCTGCATTTGTCGGAGAGCCTCTATTCACTTGTAGTTCTGTCGTTGCTGGTTGTATTTCTGGACGAGTTGCAGGTGGTCATGTCGTTCATACATGATGAGAATATAGGGTCTAATTCGCTTCTATTCAGCATTTGAACAGATTATAACTTGGACAGGTTCCATTCTCAGAAGAGTCGGCTTCCACGAGGTCGAGAAATTCCAGAAGTTTATTTTTCTACCTCACTGAGATTGAAAAAAACATATTTCATTTATAATCCATCTAGTCAATGCTCAACTTATTCAACTCTATCAGGTTAAAATTTAATCCCGAAGTTTTCCATTGATGTTCCGGAACTGCGTACCTTTGTGAAACGTATTCTTACATCATAATAGGTCAGTATACCATCATCGAATTATATTCATAACAAAACAAAGAAGAGTATAACATTATTATGTTCCTTTTAAATTTCCTGTAGCTTTGAAATGACACCTGCACTATCAAAGTATGTATTTGTTGATAAAGTCACTAAAACTGGTGATGATATATTCATTATGAAATATTACTGCTCAAGAAATACGATATCTTGAACTATAATTCTCCTTTGATACCCTAACGAAAGCATTCCAAATAAAGTTTGTTAATATATTTC